CCACACCACACCCATTCCTGTGCCCACACCATGGCCATCCCCATGCCCACACCACACCCATTCCCACGGCCACACCATGGCCATCCCCATGCCCACACCATGGCCATCCCCATGCCCACACCACGGCTGTCCCCATGCCCACACCACATCCATCCCCACAGCCTCACCACAGCTGTCCCCATGGCCCTGGCACCCCAGCAGCCCTGTCCCTGTGCCCAGGCTGTGCTCCAGCCCGGGTGAGCAGAGCAGGAGGATCCAGAGCTCGGAGGGTGCTGGGGCTGGGCCAGGCTGTGGCTGTGGCTGTGGAATTCCAGCTCCCAGCAGCAATCCGCCCCACAGTGGTGGCAGTGGCAGTGACGGGGCAATCGTGGCCGTGTCCCCACGCTCCCAGCCTGGAAATGACCACTTGTGCCCCATTCCAGCCCTGCCACCAGCTCCCAGCCCATTACGGCACACGCGGGCCCCGCACTCCCACCTGGGGAGGGGGCTCATTTGTAGTTAAAAATCTATTGTGACTTGTCAGAAAAATGAATAAATGAGCACATTATTTTTTCATTTTGGAGCTCAGCATCTGTTTGTCTAATCAAGAAAGAGAACTGGGAAAGTCAACCAGGGCTGACGCACACATTTTATTTAACTTTTCCTCTGTCAAAGGAGTTTAAATGTGTAATGAACAGGCCATGGTGATTTGAAATATAATCCCATTACTCTGATGAGATTACCCAGGCTGTGAGAGTTCACAAATCATGCTTAGGGTTTTTAGAGTGAACAACACCCTGTTGAGATTTTTTTCTCTTTTTGCATTTAAGCAGAGGTGTGTGGGGAGAATAAAACATGACAGTGCTTAACCCTTCCCGCAGAGGAGCAGCAGCACGGGGCTGTGCTGGGGCCAGCCCTCCTTGTGCCCGGTTCTTGGTGACCCTGAGCTCTCCATGGTCCCGGCAGTGATGCAGGGAGCACACCTGGCCAGGGCACGCTCCCGCTGGCCCAGCTGCGCCCCTGTGCCCGCTGTTCCCTGTCCTCGTGGCTGTCCTTGTCCCAGTGCTGCTCGGGGTGGCTGTGCTGGCTGTGATTTAAGGGGCATTAATTTCAGCTGCACAGCAGCACCCAGCCCCACCCGCCGCCACAGCAGCGCATTTCCATGGATTCATGGGCCCATTACAAACATGTCTCCATAAATAACTCCCCCCATTAATCTCAGGGCTGCACCCACGGCTGTGCCATGGGTTTCGCTTGCTTGTCCTGGTGCCAGGTCTCAGCCCCCCCTGAGGGGCAGCAGCAAAACCCAGGGATGCCCCAGACTCCTGCCAACCCAAAAGCAAAGGTAATTCTGGCTGGAATTGGTGCTCTGGGAGCTCCTGGCAAAGCCCTGCAGAGCCCAGGGAGAGCACCCAGTGCTCTGCCCTTGGGTGCCAGCTTGTGCCAGGGCGCCCTGGGTGTCCCTGCTCAAAGGTCTCTCTCTGGTGCTCTCCTGTGCTCTGACAAAGCTGAGGAGGTGGAGGGGAACTGTCCCTGTGGCCAGGAGCCCTCTGACAGCAGGAGCCAGAGGGAATTGAGGGGATCTCTGGTGCCTGCAGCAGCTGCCTGCGTGCGCAGGGGAGCCGCGCTCTGCTCTCTGGTAGCAGGATGGGGGAACAGCTTGCCTTGCTGACCCAGTTGAATGCCCATCTGACTCAATTACATCTACAGCTACCGGGGAAAGACCAGCCCGCGATGGCTCCGTGCTCAGCTGGGCACACTCTGCAGCCACGAGCCTGATTTAACTCCTTCGGGGGCGCTGGGCAGCAGAAACGCCTGCTCTGGGAGGGATGCTCAGCTCCTGGAATGCTGCACCTTTCCGGGGTTTAAGAAAGGTTTCCTGTGGGCCATGCATCAAACTGAATCTGACCTTTGGAAGCAAACTTGCTTTTGAACTGTCAGTGGCTCTTTTGCAGCAGATAAACTCACTTTGGGCTCCAAAGCTCCCCGCTCCTCACGCAGCCTTGGAGCAGCCTCTGTCTGTCCCTCTCCCTCAGGACACACCAGGAGCAGGAGGCCGTGAGCACAGCTGGTCTGGGCAAGGGACTGTGCCACAATGTCACCGACAGCACAGAGGTTATTGGGTGAGATTTTCAGGCTCTCCTGAGAGCAAACCTGCACATGCTGAATCCCTGCTGATAACAAATACACGTGAGGGGGTGGCAACAGCACTATGGCCATGGAAACAGGAGATTGCTGCAGATTATGGTACCAAATAGGCAATTTTTCAGTTCAGTTAAAAAGAATTGAAACTGGGTGGCCAAAGAACATTCACAGAGCAACTTTAATGTTAAATATTTCACAGAGTCGGTTAAAAGAGTCATTTACATCGAAGGGGCTTTTCCCATTGTATCTGTGCTGCATTTGCACATAGAAAATATTAAAAAATTAATAGAATACTATAAAATATTGTTTCTCTTGTTTTGCAGATATCATGGAAGACTGTACAGGGAGGCCTGGCCTCGGTGGTGCAGGGCCAAGCAAACCCAGAACAGAAACACAACAGGTGAGACCCAGGCCCTCCCTGTGCCCGGGGCTGCCCCACGCTGTGTTAAGGCTCAGGAAGTTTTCTCTGTACAACAGCAGGGTGGGAGGCTGGCAGAGGGTGGGCAGTGCCCAGGGAGCTGCCCCCAGCCCCGTGGGGCACCAGGGCAGTTCTAGGGTAGTGTGTGCAGAGCTCCAGTGGGCTGGAGAAAGACACCTCTGGTGAATTCAACCAACAATGCGGCTCTGGGTGCCAGCATCCATTCCCGTGGTCCCTGATGTGTTAAGGATGAACAAGGCCAAGGTAGTTACAAATCCCAGTACAAAGTAGGTCTTAATTTTTATTGTTAAAGAATAATATTGAGAGAAGGTGAAGGCATTTCTGAGTGCCCAGGGACAAGGTGCCCCAGTGGATGTGCCAGCCCCAGGGTGGCAGCAGCTCAGGGTCCCGGGCAGGAGGATTCTCCTCTCCACCTCCAAGACGTGGATTTCCAACCACCGTGCTGCCTTCAGCAAGGAACTTCCAACAAAGCATTTGCAAAGCTGAAAAGCACAGTTAAATAAAATATTTTTGAACAAAACAAACACAACAGACTGGACTGTCTCAGGGCTCCCTCGCTAAGCGCTCCCCTGCCACGGCTGCTGTTCCTGGCTCACGGATGCCTCCTGCACTTCAGCAACAGAAGTGAAACCATCTGGGACTGCAGCCTCCCCCCAAAAGAACTGTGCATCATATGGACCTTGAAAAAGATTACATCTGTTTATTAATAGTAAAAATGGATACATTTGTCCTACATTTTGTTTTTAGAAATTTGATCATGTCACAAGCAATACCTGCGTGTACGTGGGTGGATTACAGATGTATATAATTTATTTTAACCAGGCTGTGAAATAATATGTAATCACATCTCTTCTTGTGATTGTACATAATACAGTAATTAAATGATGCCAGTCTACGTCATTCTCTTATTTCTAATCAAAGGAACCTGAAGCGTAACAGTCTTCTTTCCGGCTGATATGGCTCTTTATGTCTGTCACGGGGAGGCTCCCGCGCCGAGCGGGGCGGCTCTGGCAGCCGTGAGGGACGGGACGGGATGTCCGGGCTCCCGGCCGGCCCGGGCAGGAGCGGCGGCCCCGGGCCCGGGCCCGGGCGGGCGGAGCGGCTCCAGCGCCGCACGCAGCTCTGCCGCTCACTGCTGCCCCGACTTCTTCTCCTTCTGGAAGCTAAAGCTCGTTCTCCTGCTCAGCTTTCTTTGTTTCTGAGCGAAATAGTCTGCTCTGGCTGTGCTTGCTCGCGACTCTAGAATATAGTTAACCTGCAAGACACGAGCGGTGTTAATGCCACCCTGGGGAGGCTGGGGACCCCCAGCCCACCCCCTCAGCAGGATGATGGCAGAGGGAGCCCAGAGTGCCAGGAGAGCCCTGGGCCATCCTCCTGTGCCCCCGGTGCCACCCTGGGCCACCCAAACCTCTGGGGAGGGCAGGGACCCGTGCAGGCCCCCCAGCGCTGGCACAACCAGCATTGGGCATCAATAAAGGACCTTATCAGCCTCAGTGAAAAGAATTCTTCCATTATGATGTTTGCGTACTCAGCTAATCTCAGAGTTTCCCTCTGTTTTGGCACATTTTACTTGATGAAAGCATTTTAAAATGATATTTAACAAGCCTGCTACTCCCTAAATTTATTATCTCCAATGCTTTGTGATAATCTCAGAGATAATTTTAATGGAAGGTTAATGCAAGAATCAAAAAGATAAAAATGCCCTTTGGTCTGTCATTAGCTGGTTAATATGCTGTGGCTTAAAACTTGCACAATTTTATGCACTGTAGAGTGTTTCACTTTCATTGCATATTACAGCTTAAGGCATAAAAATATAGGGAATTTTCATGGTCAATAAAGTCTCAGTCCTTCTCACTTGATCATCTAAAAAGCCTAATTTGAAAAGTCTGATTTTTCTGCGCTCCCTAATGCCGATGGAATTGAAAACAAACCAGTGACTTGTGCATGAAGCCAGAGAATGTTCTATATAAACAAACTGCAACTTGGGGAAAAAAGTACTGCTCAATATTATTTCTCTCTCGAATACTCATGTTATTGACAGTAAACCACTTTTTTAGCCTTTGTTTATGAACCAGACTGGGATGAGTGGACGTGTTCAAAACCCAAGGAGATGTGGCATGGGGGTACTTGGGCAAAGGTTGGACTTGATGACCTTGGGGGTCTTTTCCAGCCTTAATGATTCTGTGATTCCATGATTCCAAGTGTTTGGGACTGCAATAGCTGATCTAAGGTAAAGTGGGACCAGAAGAATTGGCCTAACAGCTCACAGAGAGAAACCCCTCAAACACTCTGACCTCCTGTGTGATGAATAAAAGTTATTTTATCGCACGTCAGTTGTTTAACAATCCTCTAAACTCCACACAGCCAATAAAAGCAAACATAACAGATGGTTTGCCAAAATTACTGCTTTTGAGTTTTGACTTGCTACGAAAGATGAACTTGTGGAAAATTCCATTTAATTTTTCAAGAGTGTAACAAAAATTTGTTTCCCAAAGCAAGGGAGTTTGTGTCTGTGTTTGCCCCAAGGAAAGCAAACAGTGCAGGGAGAGGATCAGGTAGAGAAGCCCCTGTGACCTGTGTGGGGACACCAGAGCTGTGAGGGGCAGGAGCACCAAGCCCTGCACAGCACAGGGCTGCTGAGCACGTGTCCAGAGGTGGAAACTACCTGGACACAATAAAATCTGGTCGTTTCCAATAAAATTCCACAGAAAATGGTGTCTCTGTTAACTAGGAAAAAAACACAATAGGAAATGCTACACACAGACAGGCAGTGGCTGCGTGGCTGTTGGAAGGATGAATAAAACAGCAGGCATGGAGCAGCCATCCTGACAGGTTAAACACACCCCAGTGGTCCTCAGGCACTGCACCCTCGTGTGCTTCCAGAGCCTCCTGAATACTCACATGTCTAACAAGTGGTAAAACACCAGGATTTTGGGTCACGTTAAAATTTAATACTCACCTTCAGTACGATTTCATTGACAGTAGCAGCATCTGATTCAAAGTAAAGGTGTTTGTAGTCATGATTGCTTAGATATGTAAGTTTAAATATTGCATGACCTGCAAAGATAAGAAAAAAACTGCTTAGAATATTCCTGTAAAGTTTGAGCAGAGCTCGTTGCCTGACAGAAGAAAACCACAGATGGTGATCTCAGCGTACCATCAGCACGACAGAAGGAAGCAATGAAATGCTGACAGGCTTCTCATGTCATTTCAATTTAAGGCAAGTGGTGGCTTACAGGAGCAGCTGAACTCCAGTCAATAAAGTTCCTTTTCCCATCACATCCCCACTGCAGGAAATGCAAAAATCCATCAAATGGCTGGTTAGCTCTGCTCGGCCGCGACGGCGCTGCAGCCCCGGCACCGCGTCGGGGCTGAGCATGGGAGGAGGGTTGTACTGAACAGAAAATGGCAATTAATCCCAGAGCCAGCACTCCAAACCCTCCTCCCAAAACACCCCAAACACCACGTGAGCCCAGCCAGCTGCTGGTGACCACGGGAGCAGCACCAAGCACAGGGCACCGAGGGACGCGGCTGTGCCACCACCAAACCCGCTCAGGGCTGGGATGGCCCTGCCCACACCAAGGAAAATCAAATTAAACACTAACTGTGACCTGCTGGCACCTTCCTGGCACTCGGGCCTCTGTCCCAAATGGAAATTCCACGTGCTGGCCCTGTGGCTGTCCTGTGACAGTGTCCCTGCACTCCGACACGCGGTGCCAGCAGGAACGACTTAGACACAAAGGTCTGACGTGGAACACAAAGGAAGGCAAAATATCCTTCACTTGTATGGATGCTGATGGCTTCAAAATTAAAATGAAATGCATTCTATACATTATACTTTTCCAACGGTTTTCTAATTTATTCAGTTCAACAGTCAAAGTTAGCAATCCATAAAGTAACAGCCACATTACTGTAAATCCAGGTCTTTCCTGCAGGAAAGCTAATTGGAAATCTTATTTACATTATCTAATTCTCCAGATTTCCAAAAAGTGACTGATATATGCTCAGATTGGTGGCCAGGAAATTTGAGATGCAAGTATTTTATTGTGGCATGTTAATTAAACACCATTATGATGCACTAATCTGGAATATAAATTCTGTATTGAAAAATTGGCTAATAATAATAATAAAAACCCAACCCTTTAAATCATTTGACAAATGATGCCTCAGTGGTACTAAAAATGCGGAATTCCAAGCTGGGAGCTCATCAGCATGTTAATGCATGCAGCTTTGCCTGGAACACAGCATCTTAATGATTCCAAAAGTGCCAGTGCACCACTCTGGGGCTGGGACACAGCACCGTGCTCCACCAGCTCCCACCACTCTCCTTGGACATTGAACATCCCACACTGCTTATCAGAAACTGGCACAAAACAGGGTCAGAGGACCCCAATGAGCTGCTGCATTTTGGGTTTAGGAAATTCTGGGTAATTCTTGCTGTGGATCAAGACCAAACCTCTCGAGGTGTTCCTGCTCCCCGGAGCCCAGCGGTGCCACCACGTGTCCCTGGGGCACTGCCCTGCCCAGCACAGCCCTGCCCAGCACAGCCCTGCCAAGGGACAGCTCCTGCTCCCCCGGGCACAGAGGCTGCTCTGGGCCTGCCCAGCAGGGCACTGCCCAGTGTGGCTCTGCGGGGCCCTGGCACCGATGCCAACCCTGCAGAGCTCACAGCCCCTCCTGCCGGGATTGGGGACCAGTGGAAAGAAGCCAAGAAGACTTTTCCTTAGAAAGCCCCATTACCAGCACCATGTTTATGGGCTCCAAGTCCACAACACGCTACTTACAGCATGAAATATGAGTGCACTGAAATCCTAACTGGCACTTTGCTCTGCTACTCTTCTAGCCAGATGGAATTTATGAATTGTGAGATTGATTTCCATTTCCAAGAGTGCTTAAATATGTGATGTACCTCTTTCCAATAGAGCACCACCCCTGACAATTCTGAGATCAATAGGAGCTTCCATGGTTTGATGTTTCCGTGTGAGAGGATCTGGTAACAAACAGCAGCAGCTCGAGTGGCTCCTGCTGCATGTGACGGGGAATTTAAAGCAAATGCAGATGCTGCACAAGCAGCTGCTACCATCACTCCACACCACCAGTGGCTGGGTGTTTGCAGGGAACCTCAGTGCCCCGCAATCAGGATCAATCAGCTGCACAACAACAGAAAATCCACGTTATTCCCGACTATGTCCGTCAAAAGTGTTATGGAAAGCAAAAGGAATGACAGAAACTCAGCAGCTTTTGTCGCGGGGTAGGCGCAGCCCACGCTGAGCCCAGCGCAGCCAAGGGGTCCTGTGCCAATGTCCCTGGTGCCCCCTGAGCCCCAGCCGTGCCACGGCCCCACAGCAGGGCAGCCTCTCC